CCTACACCAATATTCTTAACACCACTTATTAAAGGATGCATGCATCAAGGGGTAGACATCATTCAAAAGACATAAACATGACCGGGTCGGTCAGGGGAAGGTTTGCATACGATGCAATTTGTACATGCAAGCTCATTTTTCACATATAAATTAATAAAGTCGATTCCTTGGGAATACGTTATTGGGTTTATAAGCGTAACGAGGAGAAGCGGTGGGTTCGCACCCCCTCCTACAAGCAATAAAAGGTACCATAAGGTAGAGGAAGAAAAGAGCATTAAATGTTTTGTTTGAAGCTTCTAGCTCAGGTTTGAAGGAAGTTGCATCATTTTCGTAAAAATTCAAAACAAATATTTTTGCCTCATTTATGTCACGATCGCACCCCCCGACTGAAAACCTAAAATATTTTGGTGATTGCATCACCCCTCCCCCCGACTGAAAGCTGGCTATGGCCCTGGGGTTTTATCGAAAACTATATCGTCAACATTTTATCATTATGCGGAAAGTCCAATATGAAATCTTAAATGGTAAATATGTTGCATTCTAGGAGGGAATTCCACTGTAAACTATAATGTGAATGTTTGATATGAATACTTCCATACAACCATCAATATCCATTCTTTTGAAATAAGATGTTACAACAAAGGGAATATTGAAAACTGCAGTGGTAAGAGCATCTTTCTGACTGCTAATTATGTGTATCAACATTTTGATTGCACCTCAGCTGGAGATTAAATCTTATAATAATTTGATCAAAGGGATTGTAATTTTCCCCAATTCGCTTATCTATGTTACAATCTGTATACTTGTTATATTGTGAGCGGTATGTGTTGATAAACCAAAAAGATATGTTTTTTGGATATCAACATTTAGAAAAAAGTGTAAGATACCATTCTATATGTTTATCTTAGTGTTTAGCATAGGTAAGAATGGGGGATGGGCTGGCGGGGGTCCGTCTTTGAATAATTCCAAGGGGTTCATATATTATCACAATTTTGCTACAAAATCACTTGGAAAGTGCATGATTTGAAAGATTATTTGCCCAAGGCGTTCGCTATTAACATGAGTATGAATTTTATAAAAAAATTACTTGAATCAAAATCGAAGAATTCCTTGCCCCGTGTGTTCACCATTCACCCCGGGGGTTCACACTCGGCTCAGGTGGGGTACCTTTTTTACATTTGGTATGTCAAGCCAATGGACCCACATTTTAGAGAATGACGGTAATTCCGGTTATACGGTTTCGGTACGGAATTGAGCATTTACCGGTATTGAAATTATTAACCGGTTAACCGACGATAATCCCCGGGGAAATAAAGGACACGTCGTTTTTTTAATTATTTCGTTCAATTTCCACTTTCATGATGCGTACATTTACATAGACATTTAGATGTCCATGTTTGGCAGTTCAGGTGTGATTTCCATGTTTGGCAGTTCAGGTGTGATGTCCATGTTTGGCAGTTCGGGTGTAGTAGCTTCATCAGTGGTTATAGCTACGACCATTCCAAACAGACGCTTAATAGTCTTTTCCATCATGTCAGCGTATTCCTTGAACAAGTACCTTTTAATCGTGTTTGCAGTTGGCACTGGGTAACTTGGCTTTACCTCTTGCATGAGGTGTCTGAAACCCTTACCTTCTACCAGACTTAATGGCCTTAAGTCCATGGCACACATTCGGGCCATTGCTGTGTTGATCCTGATTAGCTTTTGTAAAGTCATTAAAGGGATCCTGGATTTGGAATTCAAAGGTGACATAGATCTAAAACTTTCTTTTAGAGAAGATTGCTTCAAGGACAAAGCACTGGGAGATTTCGCTTCAGTAACTGTTTTCTTATGGATTCCACATAAATGGGTCCTCATTTTCTGATGTGCCACCACCAGAAAATTTAAGTTTGGTACTACACAAGAGACATTTCACCGTATTTTTACTTACTAGTTCAAAAAAGTTTCATGAAGTTCATCAGTATGGGTTCAAATCGATCTTGCACCATGTATGCATATAGACTTGAGAAGCTACGGAGAGAGTTATAGGAACAAAGTGGGGGTGGCAGCGCATTGGCATTTTATCTTACAAATTTTTACCGGTATTTCGGTAACGGTACGGTTATTAGCGTGACGGTTACCGGTACTTGTTTTCAGTACCGTTGCGACCTCTACCACATTTTAAGACAGATTTTTCCATTTTCAGGTATAAGAATCGGTGTGGAAAATATGTTACCCCTCAATTGTGGTACGGCATTGGTCCCGGGGCATTGGTCTAGTTGTTACACATATCCTTCATTTGAGGTTGTTTTATGATCATTTTACTCAAAGATCTGCCTTCTTCTCGGGGCATTCGATATTTCGAATGGCCTTGGTCTTATGTTCTGGATATTTGGTACCCGGGGGTATGGCATTGGTTCTATATTTGGATGTTTGACATGGCATTGGTCTTGTGTTTGGACATTTGATATGGCTTTTTGGGGTTTATTTTAGTTTGTATGAGAACACATTTAATGCCACCCCCCCCCCCAAATTACAAATCTACATCTATTCTCTCTATCCCAAAGGTGGATCGGAAGCATGAAAAACAGATGCAGACTCGGGACAGTTGCAAGGGGGGCTATAATGGAGAAATTCGTTTTGATTTTGAGTCTAACTGAAATATTTTGTCACAAATATTAATTAAATACGCAAATAGCCTGTTTTATTAAATGAGACTAGGGCAAAAAATCTATTCATTAAATCTAAAGCCTAGACGATATCTTCTGTAATCAAGGTGGTTTTGGTACACTTCCGCAATTATAAAAACAAAAACATAGACTAAGTTATATTAATCTTTTGTTATCATATCAGATTAAGTCAGTTTTGTTTTCTAGATGTAATTTTACATGTAGATTTCAAATATGATATTACTTTGACTGAATTTTGAATTTTTAATGACGTAAATCAAGATTATTTCTACTCGCATGTGGGTTATTCATATCCCGATAATTCTTTACAAGGGAATGTTTCTTATTAAAACATAAGCAGCGCCTAGGCGTCGATTGGGGGGGGGTCAATCCAGTGTTCTCAGGCTATGTACAGCCAAGTATCCTGTTTATGTAAAAACCCTACGTTCCCGAATCACAATCAGACAATTGATTAGTATATTTGCTGTGTCTAGCAATTGATCATAGAATTAGATGTTGCAGAGAGAATGGTACATTCGATTGAATATGCTTGTTTTGCCCAATAGTATAGTTTCCATATAGCTTTTGAAATCTCGCTAAATCTCGTTTTTCGTGAGATTTTAAGAGACTTGCATATTAGACCTCTAATGACTTACATTACCTTCTTTTAAATGGCATATTTGAATTCAGTGAAATGTTTTCTCCTTTAATAGCTTTGATTTACACAGTTATGTAATTTGAATAATTTTCTATAACAATTTAAAAAACTTGGGCCAAATGTCCATAGATGCAATGCTAAAATTCTTTAAATCCGTGGATTATTTGTATGTCAATCAACATTTGCATGTTTAATCACATCATGTACACAAACAGGGTCATCATGTGGTATATCATTCAAGTTTTATACAGATTCAACAAACACACTTTGATAAATCATGAAATTAAGCCACTTTTCCAAGATTTTAGCATGTAAATGAATGGAGCTCTAGCCCGAGTTAAAAGCTGAATAAAAGATGGCAGCACGATATTTCATTGATTTTTCTGCTATTTAGAAACTATCCTATTGTGTATTAAAATGCCCCTCATTTATCATATGTATGGTCACAAGTTAAGTCGGCGATTTGTATTGACTTAACTTGAAACAAATTACTCCGAAATCCAAATACTCATCGAAAAGTAAGGTTATCTTTATATTAAGCTAATACAAAATAAATATATAAATAGGCCTGATGTATCAGTGTTTTCAAAGTTTATTGCACGTTTTATCCTGGAAACGCCTTTCTTTTTCTTATCATGATATGTATTTCCTTCACTTAGGATCAATGCGTCGATTAGCATTGCCTGTAACTGATTTATATTTTCAAAAGGCGGCATGAAATTGCCAAAATGTTTAAATAAGTCAATGTGTCAGCGTACATTGTACATACAAAATAGTCTGTTTAATATTTGCTACATGTACTTGTTCCAAAGTTGAAACAGTCTGCGAAAGAATGATTAAAAAATATATCAATTAAAAGTATCAGAGAAAATACTTGCAGTCGTTAAAATACTGTATGTATTGCTATTGGTAATTAGGTTAGTTGTTTACACATAATTATGTTGTTCAGTGTGCCAAGAGCGTGTCAAGAGATTCCATTAATTGTTTACACGTCTTTGCACTGCGTGTGCCAAGAAGTGCAAAGAGGTGTAAAGAGTTGAATTCATCGCGTGTCAAGAGGTGTAAATAATTGGCACGTCTAGAAACCCGGCGTGTAAAGACCAGTTTCTAGACGTGTCAAGAGTTGGAATCCCATATTTCACGCAGTGTTATACCTTTTTGCAAAGACGATATACAGGAGGACACTAAAAACACCCACTATTTTCGGAAAACCTCTCTCAATAATCAAGGGATCCCCATGATTATAGCGTGTTCAATTAAGAGATATCTCATTTTCCGTGGAGGCATGCTCTAGGCTAACACAAAATCACTCAAAACTATAAATTAGAAAATCTTAAAATGAGCGACTCAGTTCATCTTTGGCAAACGTATTTAAGAAAAATGGGAAGACATGACATACGTGTGTCATTGATAATATATGTAAAAGCAATCCAGAAATGACTCAAATAATGGCTAAAACAGAAATCACAATTTCAGTAAATTGTATTTTTGAATATTTTTTGATGATTTCACCGAGAGCATGCTTGGGCGGATAACGTGATATCTCTGAATCGAAAAGTTGTTGATGCTATCCATGTACGACAATCTTTGTTCTTTTGAACACTTTACATTCTTTAATTATTGAGAAATTAGTGGGTGGCATTTTTGTGTCATTGTGTAAGTTTGATCAGTCAATATCAAACATTAAATTGTGTCTAGTTGTCCCTTTTATGCTTGCAGTAAAGTATGAAAGCCAGGGATACCATAAGATATCCTAACTCTACAAGAGACACAACTGACATACCCATGTTCATCCCGATGATACCCCCAAAATCTGATAACCATTTATTGAATGGGTAGCTAGGTTCTGCAGCAATCCTGTTCACGTTTAATGTACTATAAAATACGTTGACTTTCAAGAAGTTTGTTTCAACGAATTTGTTGATAAATCGGTACCAATTTATAATGGGAGCACACCTATCCGGCTGATCTGTCGAATTGGCAATGTTGCATGGACAAGTGAGATATGGATACGCACCCTTTACAACGGCAGATGAATAAGATGAAAAAATGTTATCTCCCGACATACAAATGCCTAGACGATTCAGTCTATTCCCTGACCAATAGGTTTTGTTAAGAAATTGATCTGCTTTGGGATGGTTTCTCAAGAACGATATGAAGTTTCTATGTTTAAGACCTTTATAATATCTTTCATTTGGCCATGGTATTGAGTGTTTTAAGTAGTAATACGCCGTGCTTTTACATTCTCGCTTACAACCACATTTCTCCCCCTCACGAGAAAACAGTTCTGTTACTTCCTTTTCACACTCATACAACTTAAAGTTTTCAATGAATATTTTCCAGTCAAATTGGACATTTTCTAATGGGAAAACATTACCATAAGTCATTTCTCTTTCTTTCTCCTTTAAGTATTCCTGTCTCATTTCGTATCCACAATAATGTATCTTATGTGGTTTCTCGGTGAGTGGTGGTAAAGGGAGTTTTGGGTTCATGCATTTACATCTTTTTATTGTTTCAATCTGCTGGCATTGTCTGAGGCACATGTTCTGTGTATACGTGTAGGTTGTGTGTGTGTTTAATCTTTCTTCTGTGCAATTTCCATGTGGGGGTCCCAATAACGTGCGGACATCCTGTGAGAGACCAATAGAACTGAATGTTCCAGTTGAAAGGTCAATTCCATCCTTTTCAGGATCAGGCATAGTGCCAGGGGCGTGAATTGACAATCTGATTCCATCACTTGCTGTTGAAAAGTCACTGTTGAATTCATTAAGTATTGCGGAGTCAGAAGAGCCGATCAGTTTTATATAGTTAAATGTATCCGAATCTGTAAATTCATCCAGAGGCGAGAAGCTGTTTGTGAACAACATTAGGTTCAAACCAAAATCTGGCCCAGGTTCACTTAAAATATTCGTGTCATCTTTGGAATTCGGTTGGAATGTAAAACAATTGCCATAGCGTCCAAGCATTACTTGTTTAAAATCTGTTTTGCCACATGGTTTCCCTTTAAAGCGGCATTCTAGGATGAGGTCGTCATACATTCTGAGTCGATAATCGCGCCATTCGTTAAGGTTTTCTATATATCTTTCTTCAGAAACTATTCTTCGCATAACAGCATTAATGCGTTCGTGATCTTTCTCCCTTTCGTCTGAAAAGGCTCGAGATTCCAACATTTTTAGACGGTAATCATGGTATATCCAAGTATTTATGGTATCACCTGTATTTGCTCTTGAAGATAATTTTTTTTTCAGATGCTCATCTGTGAAAACAACAGGTTTTACCCCACAAATTGTAACTGATGGAAATGTTACCAATTCCTCCCTGCTATACAGAATATCTTCACTGGGATGATCGAGGTACTTCCGAGTGATTTCATGGACCCCTATAATCGCAAGGCTACAAACAAACAGGGTTATGGCAAACCAAATCAGTCTACCGAGCACCGATTTAGCATTGCGGACCTGAAGAAGGCTCTGAATGGAAGTGATCAGCGCAAATTTTGATATTTGATTCTTAAGCGAATTATATTTGAATTCCAAGGCGTCAGCAATTATGTCGTGATGTTGAGTCTGGCTAGTTACTATTGGCGTATCCGATATCAATTCGTCAATGGCCATCCTCTCGTTCACAATGTGTTCATTATTTTGAGTATGCTCAGTTATCATGTCTTCTGTTGCTCTCTCAATATTTGGCTCATCAACGGGAACAATCCCAACATTTTGATTCAATTCAATTACCACGCCTGTGTTTCCAATTCTTTTAAAGGTACCCATTTCTATGTCGTTACTTTCATCAACATTTACAGCCTGTGTTACCCTGTCTATATCTGCTCTATTTACATCGTCAGTATTTTTCTCATCATCAACTTTACCAGTCTGCGCTACGTTTTCTGTGCCTTCTATATTTGTATTGTCAGCATTTATCTCAACATCAGCTTTTACAGTTTTCGTTACGTTTTCCCCATCCGCCATAGTACCAGTATTTATCATTGGATGGTCCATAATCATTAATAATTTGGTCAAATTAATTGTTTATCGTTATTTTGTTCATTATATTCAACTGTATTATTAGTGTTTTTATTACACCACAAAGTGTCTTTGCCTCTATTGCTATTCCGTTAATCATTGCAACAGAATATTTAACAGGATCTTAAGAGGTTCTGGACAAATCATTTGATTCTGGACTTGTCATATTTTTTTTTCAACGAAATCACATCCAAGGGTTGAATTTTTATTAGCTATTTAGAGAGTGAGTCCTGCCTAGTATTAATTTCAATAAAAAGTTAAAATAGAACCCTATTTGAGAGTCAATCTAATACCTTCATTACATTGATAAATTAAGGCAAATCCTGAAATATTTTTAAAGTGCATTTTTTTATGAAATATTATCCAGCAAGTATTTAAATGAAACGGTCTTATTTAAATACAAATCATAACATGATATTTTTCATGAAACATTTTTCAATGAAATTCAATTGAAGGGTCAAGATAAAACGAGCTAATTTAGGTGAAAACCCTTACATGATGATGTGTTTTCATAACTTCTTTCATAAAATTCCATCAAGGGGTGAAGATAAAATGATCGAATTTAAGTGATTTAAGGATCACGAGAATATGTTTTCTTTGATATTTTCTATGAAATCCCATTCAATGGTCAAGGTAAAATTTTGATTTTGATTTTGATTTTCTCACGTGTTCGAAAGATCCATATAAGGCCCATAGAACCATATAGGAACGTCATTTTGAATGTCACGTGATAGATCCATATAAGGCTTTTAGAACCATTTATGGAAAGATGAGGGAAGCCCCTGACACCTGTTTCACGATTTTTATGCACTTCATTATTGTACCGAAGTTTGCCGATTCGATTCGTCGTATTTCGGAATCCTGGTGACAATTTTATACTCCATTGGAGTATTTTTGACCTACTTCTTATGACGGAAATTCCCGAACCTTGTTCGGATTAATCCGGATTTTCTGACCTACCTTATCTACCGAGATTTCACGAGTTAACATTCGTCTCATTCCGGAATCCTGGTGACAATTTTATACTCCATTGGAGTATTTTTGATCTACTTTTTCTGGATTTTGCCCTACTTATTATATCTTGACAACAAGCAAATCAAAAAGTTCGACATGAACGGGTCTCGATCAACTAACCTAGACTATGGAAGCCAGGCACGCTAACCATTAGGCCAACGAGCTAGGGATATGAAAGAACAAAAGTATTATATATTTATACCGAGCGTCAATTCAAAATGATCCTCACTTTTGTCTCCACTTAAATACGACTCGTCAGTTGTATCCAGAATAGTAGAACGCCTATGGCGCTAGTGAATAACCAAGTCCCAGGTGAGTGGTTCGTATCCCTCCGTGATATACTATTTTTGTTTTATTAAATACGACAGAAAGGAGCAAGGTGTAGGTTGAAAACAAGACGTTAGTTTGTTTCAAAACAGTTTGGAAACATTAATCTCTGGAACATTATTTTTTCAACACTGATACAAATTTCCCTGGCATTTCCCTGACATGTCTACCGTTTCAAAATTCCCGGTCATCTTTGGCCCTTTTGACCTAATTTTAAAATTACCTGACATTTCCAGCACTTGGAAAATCAAGTCAATTCCCCTGACATTTCCAGGTGTGTATGAACCCTGGAAATATCCCACTGGCTCGCCCTATGAATCGCTAGCACAGATTGGATTGATTAGTGTTTCAAAATGGTGGACGAAGTGTTTGATTAGATAATTTACATATTAAGCTTCTTAAAGGGGCAACAAGGCCTGTACATAGAAAATTCGAAATTTTTTACATTTTCTGAATTTTTAGGGCAACATTTGGCTTTAACATCTATTTTTATACATTTTTTCTTAAAATGTATGGATAAACAATAAAATTTCAGCATTAAGCAGTGCAAATTCAGTTCAAAGCTTCTATAAAGGGAGTCCAACTTATAGATTTTGAAAATCCGACTCGTTTAAAGAAGAATATCAGCAGCTTAAATCACGCCTTGTGATCATACAAAATGGAAGGAGGGGGGGGGGGGGGGTGTAGGCGATTTCTGCAAGAAAACTCAACAAATTTGGAAGATTTATTTTTTTCAAGATAAAATTTACAACTGAATTGCCAAATGAATAGGCGCAGTGCATGGCAAAATATGTAACGTCTTCTAGTATTTTTTGAACTGATACGCTTCTAAGATATGAGATCTATTATAAAAGGCGCATCATCATCATCATCATCATCATCATCAACATGCAAAAGTCAATGTTTTTGCTATAAATCAGGCAACAATGGTCTACACGACCTGTAATAAATAGGTATGAGGGGCGTTATTAGAGAATTTTCGTTATAAGTTTTTTAAAAACTTATACGTATACTTATACTTATAAACCCAATAAACAAGGTGTTTCATAATTTCCTAATTCGTCGGGAAATATCTCCTAGGACGGTAATAAAAAGGGCCAATGGCATACCATCCGTACCCCCTTGATGTAAAGCATGTTTAGTTGTGTCATATGTGTTTTCTAGAATCAAATAGGCTGATATAGCACACGGGTTTTACAGATTAATGAATGAGTTGAGCTATTTGATTGGATACTATGCCTATTCAGCCGATTAATTTTAATAAGCCATTCTGGTCAGTAGGTCCACACATATACTATGCGGAGATCCAACTCTGTAAGTTTATAATCTGCGTATAAAGGCCCTTTTATACGTAAAATCTTAAAAATTGACCTTATAATTTCATGAGAACTTTAAAATGATCGACTCGTTCGTGTAGTGATTCACTTTAAAGGGTCTTGTTTATCGTACACTACAAGGACCCGTCAACTAGAATTTAGTTTATCGTGTTCATAATTGACACTAGCAAAGGACATTGTATTCGCAGTCCCTAGTTGATGATGAAGCTTGACTATATCGGGAATAGTTATGCCCCACTTGGTACAGATTATGAAAATCAATTTGAATTGATTTTAGTTCGACAAGACCCTTTAAACTATAAGTATACGTATAAGTTTTTGAAACAACTTATAACGAAAATTCTCTATTATCACAACACTGACATTGCTCACTTTTTAAAGTTGTTTCAAAGCGTTATATGTAAATGGGCGTGTGGAAGGCCCGTGGGTGGCAATAAAATAACTCGAACTTCAAATTAAAATATATATAAAATAGTATATTTCAAACTTCAATGTTTAAAATACAATGCTCTGTAATGTACAACATGAACTCTTACAGCAACTACTGACAAGCCAACACCCAATGCAAACTCAGCTACATGTGAGTGAGAAAGACCATATAGGGGAACAATAGATATATAAAACTGACACAGTTTGCATAGTTGAATAACTCAAGGTGAAAAGTGAACATGGTATTAAAAGAGAAAAACTGCAAACAACCTACTTAGGGACCTGTTATATTGAGATGAATAGGGATTGATTAATATGAACAGTAATAATATAAAATGTGAAAATGACCATGTTACATATACAAAAAATAACACCATTGTTACAAAATCACAAAAAGTGAAATATCTATTCTTGTATTGCATTTTCGTTCACTGGACATATTTTAATTGCATTGCTTGTAGATGCATTTTAAGGGTGATATGGAAATTGAACCACGAAAACAGATGTACTTTAAGTTAAAGGGAACTTTCTACCATACCCGCCATGCTATCTGACCCGAACGAGCCACCTTGTGGTGAGATTGGTAACTACCTGCTCGCATCTGCGTTATTACGCAGAGACATAAACGTATACACAAGGAAACGATAGGAGATAACCTATTTTATCTCTGTATACATTTTAACTTTAATACATCGTTGAATCGAATTTGTCCAAAGGTCTTGAAACGTAAAATACCTAAATATTTATCTTAGACCTTGGGATGACCTTGTACAAGAAACATTAATGTTGACCTCGGTTCATCTAATCATAATTCGCCAAGGGCCAAAGTATCATCAAACGCCAAATCACAGGCTGGTATCGAAAGATTTGTCCGCTGTGACGGAGCATGCTATTTTTCATAAAAACACTAAGAATGCTTCACGATTTATTTTTTAACTCATATGTTTCGTTATATCAAAGATAATTACTTACTCCATGCAATGGATATATCATTTGCGTGTAACCTTCACTTCTGTTTATAGTCCAATAACGCTAGGAGTAAAATCTATTGAAAACAGCGCCAGAGTATCAAACTCTAAAATGTACCATTTCTTGTTTAACTTTTTAATGGCATGATATAGTGACACGATAATATTAACATATGTTTTCTGCATAACTCTGAATTTATTAATGAGATACTAATGCTTTGGGTCTTTTTAATTTTTTTATAAAAAATAATATTAATATTTTTTGTCCGCTGTGACGGAGCATTTTCATAGTTCACATTTGCAACTGCTCCCTCACAGCGGACAAAAAAATTAAACATTATTTTTTATAAAAGAATCAAAAAGACCAAATACATCAACATCTCATTTATACCTTCATAGTTATGCTGAAACCATGTGTAAATATTATCGTGTCACTATATCGTGTCATTAGAAAGTTAAACAAGAAATGGTACATTTTGAAGTATGATACTCCGGCGCCATTTTCAATAGCTTTTGTTCCCAGCGTAATTGGACTTCAACAGAAGTGAAAGTTACCCGCAAATGATATATCCATTGCATGGAGTAAGTAATTTTTTATGGTATAACGAAATATATGAGTTAAAAAATAAATCGTGAAGTATTCTTAGTGTTTTTTATGACAAATAGCATGCTCCGTCACAGCGGACAAATATTTCGATACCAGCCTGTGCAAATACCTAGACATTGATCGTTTACTTGGATTTAAATAAGGAGTATGATTTTAAAATTGGCTAGGTCGTGGTTAAGCAACAATAGTATGTTCGAAATACCGCTGTGTAATGCCTGGATCACATTTGCTGCGAGTATTTTGTTCAAAATTGAATACATTTCTGAACACAATACTCAATCGGCCGGGCGCCGTAGTGAAAATCGGAGCAAATGTGACCAAGACATAAAACAATTGAATAATACTGTATCAGTTTCACATTTACAGCGGTCAAAAGCATTTACAAAAAACCGCCAGAGTTG